ACTCACTAAAACCCCTCAGTCGTTTGCCATACATCCTAATGCTTGCAGCATTTCTTCATAGTGGGTAACATTGCGCTAGGTTCTCATACAGAAGGTATTTGTCATCTATTTATTCTCTATCGTAGACGTACATACAATTATAACTATAAGTCAACGCCAAACAAAGTGGCGTGCACGTCATCAAGGTGGGTGTGTTGAAAAGTTTACATTGTCGCCAAACTTTTTGTAAAATAATAAAATTTATTATTTACATATCTAGGTTTATAAGCAATATTAACCTCAAATGAGAACAAAAATAATAGTATAATAAAATTATAGATCTGTACTTGCATAATCATTAAGTATGACAATTATTGATCAGATGACACTATGAAACTACCATATTTAATTGATAGCTTAAAGGTACTGAATAAAAATCCAAATCGTGTCCTCCAAATTTTATGCATGGTATTTATTTTACAGAATTCATACAGAAAAATGCATTCTAAAATTAGGTAAGCTACTGGTGTAAGCTTTTTCTGTACAATAAAGTTAGTCGGAGTTTCTTTCTTCAGCGCTGTCTGAATCTCAATCTTCATCACTCTCAAAGTTGATTATTAAAGGTTCGATGTCTGGTCGATCAAAAATTCGTTCTCTTTCATACCATTTAAAAATTTCTTGCTCAGTATGTCGAACACTATTTTTCCACATGTCTGGGGTAACCGTTTGTAGAGCCTCGTTCCACATATCCAAACAGTCTTTTTCACTGTTACCATCTCTACCAATATGTCTGTTATAGTAACCTTTTGCTATGCCCCAAATTAACTCAATAGGGTTAAATATACAATGGTAAGGAGGCAGACGAAGAACTTTGTGCCCATGTTGTTCCGCCAATTCATCAATCACGTATATTTTAGGTGGTTTGTTTCTAAAAAAGCAGTTATTTTAAGAATAGGAATAAACAAAAGAAATATAAACTGTCGACCAAAATATATATAATTAAGAAGCATTATGTACCGAGCAACAATACTCAATAGCTCTGTTTTAAACATTGTGTTTAAAATGGTATGTTTTGATTTGTCAACCAGTCTTGGATATTTTTTTTGTCCATGCATTGTTGGGCACTTTGTTCAATATCATGCTGTGATAAGGGGCGTTATCCAGTATAATCATAGATGGACTCTCCAATTTTCCTAATAACTGATGTTGAAACCATTTCAAAAAATTGTCCTGGTTCATCTCTCCATGGTAATCGCTCAATTTTGTTTTCGAAGAAAATATCGCTTCACTACCCTCAATAAACCCATTTTCATTTCCAGCATGTAATATAATGTATCTAAAATATATTAGTTTTAAATTTTATAGTGCAAATTGTGTAAAAGTACATACCTTTTACCATCTGTTTTAATAGCTTTCACGCTTTTTTGGTTTCCATTTTGCCAAGAGCGACCTATGGTCCCATTTTGAAATATCCAAGTTTCATCGAGGAAGACAAACTGGTATAAGGCCTCAACCTTGGCTTGATTGTATTGCCTTAGAAATTCCACCCTTTTCAAAGCTATACTTGGTAGTTCCATGAGCCCTCGTCGCGGATTGTCCTTAAGCCACTTAAATCCAAGATCTCTAAGCAACCGCCTTAAAGACGTGGCACTACCATCAAATAATGCCCTATCTCTTAATCGAAACCATAAAGTTTGTATCGTAACTTGTTCTTCTGAAACCATGTGTAATATGACATTATAATTTAGTTAACAAATTAATGCAAATTTCTGATAAGTTATTATAATAAGATCTTACTTTTGTGATACATATTATAGATCACTTCTCGAATGGCACTTGTATCCAATGTCGCTGTGTTGGTTACACGTTTAATATAACTCCGCTTTTTCTTGGGCGATTCTAAATTTGCATCACTTTTCACACCCTCGGAAATACGACTAACTGTCCTTAAACTAATTTTTAAAGCAGCAGCAACACGCTACAAAAAATGAAATAAAATTTCACTATTATTAATATACATTACATATAATTATTAGTAACCTACCTCTTGAACAGCATTTAAAGGCAACAAAGGCCCGTTGTTGTCCCTTTCTTGCTCAAAGTAGTGCATTAACGAGGCCACGAGTTCCTTGGGCTGTTTGGGCATCTTTATATACCAAAATTGCCTTTATCTACTCGTAAAATGAATAATTTTGTTTTGAAACAAACAGTTGTTGATTTACAGTATGCGGGGCCAAAGGATTTATAAAGATTTGAAATGCCACAAATTGATTCAGTGTCAAAATTAATACAAATGTCAGTTCCCAGTTTAAATAAGTTTCAAGGTAACAATGTGTCAACGCTGCGAAATCGGTTTAGTGCGTTTACATGTCGATAAGTGATTGGAGCGTTTGCAAAACATTTTATTTCGCATAATGCGTCTAAATTTATCAGAAAGCAACTTATGTGATATTTTAATAACAATGTTTATATGACTATTAACCATAATAAGAGAGTAATGACCATTTTACAATTTATATATCACATTAATATGAAACTGCAATAGAGCAATTGTTTGTGATAGAAACCTAGGCATTAGGTCGGGGAATTTTTATCGTGATGACGTGCACGCCACTTTGTTTGGCGTTGACTATATGTACATGTATAATCGAGCAAAAAAGAAACATACTATTCCTGTCCCTTGGACTATTTCGGTTCTCCCGTACCTTACTCAGCATCATTAGCCTCACTATTGGTTGAATATTAACCCATTTTCTCTCGCTTATGCGTGGCAAAATTGTCACCAGGGAGTCTCTCTCTCCGATCGTCAGTTCGAGCTGTCTGGTAGTCAATCCACCTACCACATTGGAGTAGGTGATTAGGAGTCTGCTCCTCTTCATTGCAATATACGCAATTCGCATACTCTCTCTTCTTTCGTACTCTCTTCAGGTAGCTGTTAAAACAACCAGGTATGTGAGGAACTGTATAGTAATCTATCCGCACCGATCCTTTGTCAATCCAAGTTTTGCTATCTGGGTTGAGCCTTCTGGTCCATGCACCATGGCCAGTTTCATTTCATCTCTCCTGCCATCTAACATAAAGCGCCTCTCTTTCGTCGCTTGTAGCTTCGACCCCCTTTTTATAGAGCGCTCATCTCTCCGTACATAGGTCGACACCGTTCTGTAAGCGCATACCACGCGCTGCACTACTTTTCAGTGGCTCTCAATATTAGCTGTGTATATTTATTTTTATGAGCTCCGCGCGGGTATTATGTAAAAAACCTATAAAACGTCAAAAAAAACTGAAAGATGTCAACTTGCAGACTAGATAGTTTTTAGGGCGCAAACAGTCATTCCACGTTTGCTCACTTGGATCGTTGTGAACGTCCATCTATGGAGGAATCACTCAACTAAACTTAGCATTATTGGCTTCATAGTTTTGTGAGGCTGAGTGATCCGGGACTGTAGTTTTTATCTCTGAGAAGAAAGTTGGTTGACTAGCAAGGTCGCATCTGGATGATTATGTGTATTGGTCTGCATGTGTGTAAAAACAGTGTTATTTGCTGTGTGAGAAAATCATTACTGAATATGCCGAATATGACGGGTTATTTATATGTTGTGCTTTCTGAAGAGAGGTTATGTTCAAAGTTATAAATTACGAAAAGCTGAGGACAATTACGGGAAATCATCACCGCGCCCGCGTTGTGTGTAATTACTGTTAGCATGTACGAGTATATGGCTTGTAATTCGACAGTGTACAGTGAATATAATTATTTGTTATCTCTCTCATTTTTGAAATTCAGCAAATTTGTATATGTAATTTCCAGAATGGATAAGAAAAAGTGGATGTGCAACTAATTTCTAGCTTCGAATCTCAATTAAGTGGATTTGAGACAAGAACCCAATGTAATTATCATCAACACATACAACTTACAGCTTAGACCTCCAGTAATGCCGTCTGAGAAGCAGATTTTACATCATATCAGAGCCAAAGATTGATAACAAGCCTCATGAGGCTGAGTTAACATCTTGTAGAATAACCTACATAATGTCAAAAAAAACAGCATGTAAAAAAAAATCGGCATAATGTAACTTTTCAAGATACGTGATACCCGTGCATAATCGAGTTTGCCACCCCTGCCAAAATACTGCGCCTCTCACTACTGCGTCCTCCGTCAGATGGCATTAGCCATATCAGAGATGCAACGACCTTGTCAGTGATACGCCTTATATTTTCAATCATTTTCAGATCATTCTCAAGCCACACACCGAGATACTTGCATAATTGCATTTCGGTGTAGTCTGCCGAAAAGTATAAATACTTCTCAGGAGCCAATTTTAAGCCATTTTCTTCCATCGATATGGTAATTCTCGTGATTCCGTATGCCAAGAGTCCTTCAAGTGTGTATCTCTCCTTTTAGTCACTATCACCGGAAGGTCGTCAGCATATCCTATCAGGCGCATTCCCGGCTGCATCTGTGACCGAAGAACGCCATCGTAGAACATGTTGTAAAGCATTGATTCCCAAAGTGGTCTATATCGACCCCTAGGGGTCTATGACAACCTGCAAGGGTTCTACGTCAGCGAAAAAAAATTTGGAAAACTGCATACTATCGGAGGGAAGTTAATTTTGCCAGCCGTTAAAGAGGTTTTAAAAACTGTTTTACACAAACCTGCATCTGATATCATTAAAAAAATTCCCTTAAGCAACAATACTGTTGAAAGACGTATTGATGAAATGAGTTCTGATATTGAAAGCTTCTTATGTAATTATTTGCAAACGACCCATTTCTCGAGTCAACTCTACCTGATAATGCAGCATTATTATTGGCATATATTCGTTTTATTATGAGTCAAGAAATCTACGAAGAACTGCTCTTCACAAGAACTTTGATATCCGGCACTAAAGGTGAATCAATATTTCATGTTTTGAAGGATTACTTCATTGAAAAAGCAATTCCTTCATCAAATATAATATCAGTAGCTACAGATGGAGCGTCATGGTTGGACGTTATCGTGGATTTATAAGCTATTTAAAACAAAATGTGTCAGGGGTGTTAGCAATACATTGCGTCATCCATCGACAACATTTAGTTGCTAAAAATTTGAGTGTTAGATTGCATTTCATTCATTTAGTCATTGATGCAGTAAACCGAATCCGAAGCAACGCGTTGAATACGCGGTTATTTGCGCAGTTGTGTGAAGAAAATGACAAACACTTTCATCAATTACTCCTTCACACTGAAGTACGCTGGCTGTCGAAAGGCTTATGTTTGACAAGATTTTTTGCACTTTTTGAGACTATTTTAGAATTTCTGGATATTAAAGATACAATTTTAAAAGAAAATTTAATGAAGAGGAAAACAGACATCGCCTATTTAACAGATTTGTTTACAAAATTTAATATGGGTAATTTGCAATTACAAGGCGGCAGTTTAAATTTGATTAAAACAAAGTTCATCTTATCAGCGTTTCTTGCCAGAGTTAAACTAATGAAGCAAAATATTGGACGGGGCGAATTTTCTCAGTTCCCCAATTTGTCACAGACAAGCTGCCAGGAAGACGACGTTTCAACTTACATTCAACATTTAAATGCCCTCTATTCAGATTTTGAATCTAGGTTTGAGGATATTTTGACTATGGTAATACCACCCTGGATTATTAATCCATATGGTGACATAGAAGAAACGAATGTCATAATACAAGAGGAACTGACTGAACTAAGTAGAAACGAAGAACTTAAGGTTGAGTTTAAAAACGGATATCAGCAATTCTGGCTGCAAACAACATACCCGTTACTTATCCCGTATTATGGAATATAGCGAGGAAATTTTAATTTCCTTTCCATCGTCATACCTAGTGGAAAGGGGGTTCAGCGCTGTTACCAATCTCCTAACGAAAAAAAGAAACAGACTGGACATCATTAGCCGAGGAGATTTAAGATTAACACTTACAAAATTGACGCCAAATGTTGATAATTTATTATTAAAGCATCAGGTTCATCCTTCTCACTAAAAATATTGACTTATTGCTTATGTTATTTTATTTATAGTTTATTTTATGTTTATTGACGTCTGACCAATAAATTCCCGCATTGGGAATGAGTGCCCGCATTGATTTTTTTAAAGTACCCCCCTTTATAGAAAATATTTTTTTTTTTAAATTATTCTGAAAATTCAAGGATAGGTACACACTAAAATTCGTTAATTTTTTGCCTATTTTTAGATAACTTAAACGTATAAGAAGCGGAATTTAATCAAACTAACAGTGAAATTATTGTAGAACATACGTTTATGTTATAATTAATAAACGAACTCGCTTATTGTACTATTTTAAGTAAAAAACTTTTTTTTATTATTTTTCACTTTTTTATTATTTTATCCCTCTTATTTTTTTTTCAATGCGGGCACTTATTCCCAATGCGGGCACTTATTGGTCAGACACCTGTTTACTTAATGTTACGTATATTTTACATAACAGATACAAAATTTTATTTTGAGTAGTTTTAATTTAAATTCAATTAATAAATGTATAAATTAACATGTGTTTTTACTTTAAGTTTTTAACACTAAACTTCACTACAGTTAGAAATTTACAGGAAATCAATATCAGGTAAGTAGGGGGTCTACCCAACACGGAAAAACATGGCAAGGGGTCTACGACACAAAAAAATTTGGGGAACTCTGTTCTAAAGCAACAACCCTAGGGCGGAGCCTTGCGGCACTCCCATGGTTGCCTTCATCGCCTTTTGCCCCACCATAAGTGCCCTTTCGTCAAAGTAGCTCTTTATCGTGTTCAATAGATAGCTAGGGGTGTCTAGCTTCTCGAGAGATTCGACAATTTTCTGCCATCGTGCGGTATTAAAGGCATTCTTAAAGTCAAAAGCGACCATAACGCAACACTTCTTATTACTGTAGCTGCCGCTATTCGCTACTTCCGCCAGCTGTGCCACTACACTAAGTGCATCTATAGCAGACTTTCCCTTTCTGGAACCATATTGCGTTCTTTTCCTTTCGACGTATTTTCTTAGCCTACCTTCTATCAGTCGTCCTAGAAGCTTTTGGAGTGAACTCCGCATACAAGAGGTCTATATTTGACTTCTCTATCGGTGGGTTCTGGAGGTTTAGGAATCAGTACCAAATCAGCCTCCTTCCATCTCTTCGAAAAGATTCACGTCCTCAAACATTCATTCATCACAGACAGCACCGGGTATTTCTTTAAACAGCGCTATCACGATATCATTTGATATTTCATCTAGTCCTGGTGCCTTACCTGTTTTCAAGTGCGTTGCAGCTGTTGGTCATGGTTACAGTGACGAAATCCAATCAGATTCAGTTCACCCTGTTGAGAATATGTATATGATGAATATTCTAGTCCAGCTTTTGTGCTATTACGGTTTTCACGTTCTGGATGACTTCGTTTATCAATAGGCAATGCTTACCTTGTTTCAATGTGCTGGAAGGGGAATAGGAACCCCCTCCCATCTTTCTCTCGTCGTCCGGTCTGGTTTTGAGAAACGTCCGGAATGACGTCGCTTGGCTTGGTATGGCATATCGCGGGCCAGCGGGTCCCGGTTGGCCCGTTGGCCGGGTTGGCCCTCAGGTAGAACGCAGCGGAATTCAATCGGCGCGGCGCGGCATGGCCTGCCGTCGGCCATAATTAATACAGCCGAAGCTGAACACAATACACTCGCCGATTGGTGGATTCCGTACGCCGCAACCCAGAGGCGTCGTCAGTAGGAAAATATAGCTGACATTTTGAGATTTCCTTTTCTCTTTTATTTTTTTTATACAGATGCAGTGGAGTAGGCAGAAACCTAAATACTGGGCACCTTTACTGCTACAAAGAACTTGAAGGTACCTTGTTAATCCGATTTTTGAACGCGGCGGCATCAGGGAGGAGTGCTCTTAGGAGCAAAGCCGGTTCACATATCGGTAGAGAGCCCGTCAGTGCGAAATGATCCCGGGATTCTCTGCTAAAGAAGTGACATCCATCAGTCGGACGGCCCTCTGGACGGCATCGAGAATGGACAGTGAAGTTGAGGCGGCAGCGCCCCAAACATGTGAGCAGTACTCAAAGCTAGGTCTTATCTGAGCCTTGTACATAGTAAGGAGGTTATCTGCAGAAAGATACTTATTAGCCATAAACAAATAACCTAACGTTATCCAATAGCTCTTGCGACGAGATGTGATCGTGCCAAATTAAGACCTCGGTGATCTGGACTTCGACCAGCCGAAGTGAACAGCTCTTTGGTAGAACCCGCTTATCCATCGAAAGCCGATGAACGCTAGGGTGCTTCTTGTTAGTCAAGATACAGTACTGTGTTTTGGAAGCATTAAACTGTACCACATTGTTGCGTCTCCAAGCAGTGGTAACATCCAGATTTCTCGACTTAGTGGAATTAGCTACTAGTCTTGTTTTCTCCAGCTTATTAGCAACGATCGGCTTGCCATACTTTATGTTAGGACTCGTGGTATGGCTTCTTCTGTGAACTAGCAAGCAAAACCAAAGCGAGTAAAATTAGAAAGAGACAGATATATTGCCAAAACAATTTAAAGGGACAAAATGACGTTTAACTGTTGTTTGGCGAGAGATGCATACGATGTTGACCAGACAAATAATTATTTACTGAAAGTTTGAGCATTTTGGATCACATTTACTTGTGCTTAGATTTAGATTTATCCTTATGAGCATATTTATCAAACATTTGCAGTCTACCAAATATATTTTTCAATGTCTACTAGAATGTTGGAGAATATTTATGCAATTGTATCGATCAGAGCAATCACAATCAGACGTTTTAATGATTATTTCACGTTTACCAGTGGATACCATTGTAATTAGTATTTTTAGGTGCTAAATTAGTTAATTCATATTTTAGAAAATGGTGAAAGTGCGAGCTGAGTCTAACAGTGTGCAACATATTTTGGGATAATAAATGTAGGGAATGTTAGTTCATTGAGTATAAATATAGCAGTGTCTGAATATTTTCTAGCAGTTTGGCAACACTCTTCTTTGGTAGATGCCCAGTTACCTATGATAGAGCTGACCCAAATCGTTTCTTTTGTGATTTGATTCCGGCCTCAGAATCGATTGGTTCCATTCATTCACGATTCCGATTCCTTTCTATTCCAATTCTCGATTATGTGTATGCAATATTACGGAACGAAACTGAGACTGCTCGCCGCGATGTCCGAGTTGTTATCTAAATCACAAATGCGGACTCGATGGTCGATGGTATGCTTCAGGTACCATCGGGAAACGAGTCTACCATAATCTATAGAAAAGGTCACCCAGAACCGAAACCTACTGTCGTATCGTTCATGACCGAGCCAGCTCTAAGTTACGAGGGAACCACCAAACCAAAGGCAGGTACCCATAGGTCTCCGTCTTAGTTGTAAAATGTGGTGAATAAGGCAACCGGTAATACAAATGAAACAAATGTAAAAGTACAAGGTCAATGATGGCGACTGGTAAACATCAAAAATATTCCGCGCAGTGTATTCTTGGTGTACAATTTCTTGCCAAAACAGTGGATTCTGATCGTGCGGATCTCTTTGTATGCTGGTTGTTAATTTTGTACCTTGGAATCTACTGCAAGCTCTGAGTAATAGCCAAAGGGTTAAGGGGCTAGTAAATCAATGAATATGTACTCATTAATAGAGTACGGAGATCTGTACACCCGCTTGGTTGGTAAATATATTTCCAGGCAGATATGTATCCGGTTTTGTCCTGTGAATCTTTTATCCAGAAAAAACGAGAGCCTAGAAGACGAATAATAATCTACCTGGGCAGCCAAGTCACCGTTAAGACAAAGTGCTTGTGAGATAATGTCGGGACTTGTTCTGGACTGTATAAAAGCTCCAAATGTTGTTGCAGTGAAGCATCTGATCTCATTAGCAAGGCAATGCATGTAGCTGTAAGAGCAAAATGAGTAGAAATCATTGAGGTATCTGCAAACAGAACAGGTGTGTAAATTCAGTCAGCACTGTTACGTCAGAGAAGCCTCTCCAGGAACTTCAGAAATATACATAGATAGTGGATTGTGGAGCTGGAAGAGCTAAGTCCATGACACACCATAGTTGGTACCATGGAAAGAAAGAAGATGTGAATTTCCATCCACCATAACAAATGTTTGATATCTTTCACCCCATGTTAGCATTCTCTTACCACATTTAGAACTTCTGCTAGCTAGGAGTACTAAGGCCCGTATCGTCAGTCATCCCTACAATTGTAGGGCGCGTTTATGGCCTCCTTGATTGTCATCCTCCTTTCTCTCCTTCAAAAATTTCTAGATTACACTTGCCCCGTGTCAGCGTCAGCGCTCTCCTATTGTGAAGATATGTTTTCTTTTTAAATTGTAGGAAATTTCAGGCTGATAAAACATGATATAACTCAAAAGTAAGCACAATTTGATGCAAATAGATGTTTGTAACATAACCTCAAAATAGAGTTCTGACACGGAGAAGCAGAAAACTATGACAATCAAGGAGGCCATTAAGGCGCCCTACAATTGTAGGGACGACTGACGATACGGGCCTTAGACTGATTTCTGTAGAACACCGAAATTGACACAATGAGGAAAAAGGGAGGAACCTCCTACAAAGAATTTTGATGCTAATCTATCCGACCATGGAGAAAGCCTCCTACCCCGCTTTAGACCTTGTAAGGTAAAGGGTGCTCAGACCGATTCAACGATGTCTGTGGACTTCCTTGCTGATGCCTTTGGAAGAATGAGAGTATCAGTGGCCAACCAATCCTTGTTGTCTTTGTTGGTATCTGTCCGCCCATGTTAGAATCCTCCTACCTCACTGACATCGGT